TTTTGTCTATTATGAAAAACCGGTTAAATGTAACCTTTGTGTGATTGATGTGGCCTTTGGTGGGGATACTTTGATTAATCAGATCTCTAAAAATTCTTAAAATCAAACGTCATAACTTGTCTAACAGTCGAAATCAGTCGATTCAGATCATTGTCGATGCTTCATGATGGTGTTTAAGGATTACGTTTGGTTGTTAGAACAAGAGAAGTCTCGATCATATACGAAGGTACATGAATGAAAGTGAATGTCGATGGTCCTAACCATCCATTTCTCAGCTTCAATCAAATGTGACATTTGTCACCAATAATTTTTTTTATCATGGTCTTTGGTCATTGTTCGATTAGATCAACTGTTACGCACATTTATATCGAGCAAAATATCTTTTGAGGAAAAGTGGCTAAGGGGTTGTTTTGGTGCTTGCTGAATGGTTTGATGCAAAATGATTAAGTTGTCAGAATGATTAAGATGCTCTCATGATATAGTGCAAAATGAAATATAATTGTTCGGTAATTGTTTACAATGAAATTAGAGTGCTAAGTGGTTAAGGGAGATCCATGATACAAAATCATTCAAAGGGTTTTAGAACCATTAAGAGACAGATTTTTTTTTTGTCAAACAAGATTCACCTCTTAGTGATTCAAAGACTGTCTCTTAATAGAACTATTAAGAGGTAAACAAACAACTCCTAAACCCTTGTAAGGAATAACAGAACCTGAATGCATGAATGTGAATCTCTCGCTCTGTGGTGAAAATACTTAAAGTTGTCGACAATGTTGACAGCCAATTAAGCTTTTTTCTTCATAGTGTTAAGTCGTCAAAATCAATCATTGAATGATATGGTTAACGTATAATCGCGTTTAGACATTAAATATGATTAGTTAGGACGAGTTGATCGTTAACGGGCCTCGGGTTAAAAGGTCGAGACGGTTACTGAAACCGGTCAAGGATCAAACAGTACCGGTTAAACTTAGGGTTGATCAAACTATAATGATTATATGTGCATTTATTGTTAATCTATGAATTTGTATAATAATAGATTTATGCTTTCTGTATCAATTTTAACGTATATGTTTTATACAATGTTTAAATGAACAATAAAAATAATAAAAAAGGAACGTATACATGAAACTGGGTTCTTATAAGAACACGTGACTGTTGTTCTAAAGGCTTGTCAAAAGAGCTGTCATTATGCGTCATGACTCAAGCCTTGTGTCTCATGTCACGTTAATTCATGAACCTAATGTGCAATTTTTTAATGCGGTCTTTGATTTTTTTTAGTTTTAAACATATAATCTGAATTAAATTGTTTATTATCATTGACTCATTGAGTAATAATATAAAACAAATGCTTATATGTTTATATATATATATATATATATATATATATATATAGTTGTGATTACGTGAGAACAACCATTTTAATGATAAGGTGAGAATAGTTCTTAGTTTTTTGAATGGGTTAACGAGTAAAAATGCTGACCTTCAACTACATTTTTATCTGATGTTTTACGAAAAACACAACCCTTGATCTATCTTCATCACCTTCATCTACTTACATCTGCACCTTCAGACACTTTTACATACATTCAATCACTTTCATAAGCATAAATTTGTTAAAGTTTAGTCATGATTAGTGATAGCCAAAAACTGGTCCCGGGCCTCAACAGATCCAGCCATAATCGGTCTCGGCGAAATCGGTCCCGGTCGAAAAAAGTGAGCCCGGTCAAGCTTTATTGTAACCGGTTATGGTCCCGGTCATTAAAAAATAATATATATATATATTTTTTTTAATTTTTTATTGATATAAATTTTTAATACATTATAAAATTTGTAATTGGTTCACTCAAATACACTTTAATAATGCGTTTTATTATAAATAAAATTACATTGTCTTACAAAATATAGCGAGAAACCAAGAATTGTGAACGTTTTTTTGTGTTTTTCGCAAATCGAGAACTTGGTATGTAAACCCCTCAACCAAGACACTTATATATGGTGTTTAGAAGACAAAAGATACAAAAAAAAGTGAAACGGTTTTTTTTTTTTTTGAAAAATAACGGCTAATTTTTTTAAAAAAATCTACATTTTTGAAAAATCGGGCCGGGCTGGGCTGGGCCGGGCCCGGCCGGTCCATAACCGGTCCCGGTCCCGCGAAATACCCCAAATCCATAACCGGTTCCAGATTTCGGTCCTACAACCAGTCTTGGACCGAGCCAATTTGGCCATCACAAGTTATGATGATATAAGTAGATAGATAAGAGTAGATGAATAGCTTGTAAAATACAGGTGGATAAAACAGATAAATATTTCATTCCTACACTGTCAGCTAAAAGAAATATCCTTATGGAACTCAACCGAGTTCGTGTAAACCATCTTTTTTTATAGAGTAAATTACATTTTTAGCCTCCATGGTGATTTCAAAATTTCTATTTTCGTCTCTGTACTTTTAAAATTACAATTTTCATCCCTATACCTTACGTTTTCATTATTGTTTTAGTTCTTATGATTTATAATTTGTTGCTCTTTTCGTCCCTATGGTTTACTACTCGTTACTCTTTTAGTCCCTTATACTAAATGTTAAGAGTTAGGGGTCGTTTACGATTTGCTTACCCGGTTAAGCACTTAACAAGTCACATTGCCTTATGGAATGAATATGGTAAGAACCAAGAATCTTATCCGGTAAGTGCTAAGACAAGGACCAACAGTCTTACACGGTAAGTGATGACGATGACTCTTACCATGATCAGTGCTTACCGGGTAAATTGTTGCATATGATACCATTTTCGTGGATTAAAATCTTACTCCGTAAGTAAGTGATAATATTGAATTTTGACGGTGAACACTTGCCCGAGTAAGCGTTTGGTAAACGACTCCTATAGACGAAAAACAACAATAAGTTGCAAATTGTATGGACAAAAACCACAGTTTCAAAACCACATAAACGGAAATCACATTTTTTTAACAAATCAGAAGAATGAAAAACATAATTCACTCTTTTGTATACGAATACATATGACATTTTTTTCACAAGGAAAACTGTATCAGTTTTATGTATAAATATCAAACATAACTTGTTTCAGCTTTTAGTTAGTAAACCTGCTTTTAACACACACACACACACACACATATATATATATATATGTATATATATATATATATATATATATATATTTAAGAAATGTGTTATCCTTTGATGCAACGAACATACTCCAACTTGTTTTTGGGGATTCGATCACTGATTCGAATCTTGTAAGGCCACTGAGATTTTCCTGGTTGTTTTACAGGGCTTCTGGTATTAGTTGAGGTGTATGCAAACTGGTCCGGACATTAATGGTTAATATTCTAACTATATCGCCTTTATAGGTCGTCGTGCAAAATCACATGTGATTTTACAACACAAAGGTGTGCGAGCAACGTGAGGCCCGACTTCAGGTCATAGCAAAAGTTGTGTGAATCACATGTGAATTTACACATGATTTTAGTGTAAAAATAGATGTAATTCGACCGTTTTCTAATTCTTTTATTTGGTTAGTATTATCATATGAATCGGACTTTGAGATCAAAATAAGGGGTGTTCAAAAAAACCATTGGACCGCTCAAATCGGTCGAACCAAGTCAAACGGACCTCTTTTTGGCGGTTTGAGCGGTCCAATCCGGCCTAAATAGCCAAATCGCTCAGTCCAATCTGCATTTTGAACATTTTTTTAGCGATCCGGAAAAAAATATATTCATATACCAATTATATTTAGTTTTCATGATACGGGCTTAACTTTATGGCACAGTCAAAAAAAGTTCTTGAAATAAATTATGTTTTTTAGTTTTCATTTCTCAATTGACCGTGTCATCTAAATTGACAAAATTTTGAATTCCGTCAAAAAATAAAATAGAAAATTTCAAATCATCATTCGACTTGCTCAATATTTGTCCAAAATTCCAATTATTATTAGTGGATTTGACTAAAAAAAATTCAACTTGCTGAATGTTTTTAGTTATAGAGATAAATGTATCTTTTATAATTGGGTATCCTATTTTTTTAATCATTTTGAATATAGACGTTATTTTTTTTTTTACTTTAAAGCCGGTCCAAACCGATTAAAACAGTCAAACAAGACTGCCTTTTTATGGTCTGGTTTAACCGGGGTTTGGTCAATTGATGCCAAACCGCTAGGTTTTGAAAGTTACCTAAACCGCCATTCCGGTTTGATTTATAGTTTGGGGGTTTAAACCACTCAAAACATACCGCAAACACCTAAGGATGGTGATATGTCCCGATCCGGTGGGGAATCCGGCTCACCCAACCCGAACGGGGATGAGGATTCCCTGCTAAAACGGGTCCCAGTGCCGGGGATTCCTGATAGACTCAAACTAACATATATTATTTCATAGGGTTTGACTAAGGTTTGACCGGGGACGAGATGTTAATCCCTGTACCTGCCGGAGACAGGGGCCGGGATTACAAAACCCGCCCCATCCCACCCATCCCCGTCCCATTGTCATGCCCAGAAACACCCCTAGTCATAATTATATTAAAATAATTAAATTAAAACACAAATAAAATATATTTATCAAATTAATTACACTTATGATCCATTTTTTTAATGTTTATTTATCATTAATCCTCCCCAAAATTCACCTTTTCCGTTGACGAGATTTGAGCCATTTAAGAGCTCCCATCACGGATCGCTGTCTCCTTCCCAATCGCGTCTCTTCCATCTCGAGATTTTCTTCAGTCAACTTCCGATCACATTTTCCGGCAGCCTTCAGATCTGTCCTACTTCCTACACCGAAGTAAGTAAGCAACCTGCAACTCTTTTATGTAAATCGATTTCATTCATTGCATTAGCACTTTTAGCGATTGAATCTTTTGATCTGGAAATATCACTGTAAATCGTGCTATTTTCGAGTTATTTTGTAAGAAGCCGTTTGATGTATGATTTTTCTAGTTGCGATTTGATCATACGAACTGATCGAGTTGTTGATTTTGTTTGCAGAGATCGAAAATGGCGGAGATACTTCTCCATGGGACTCTACATGCTGCGATCTATGAGGTTGATAAGATTCATGGCTATGGCGGTGGTCGTAATATATTTGGGAAGGTATTTCTTATGGATTTCTAAAATTTGGGATGGGAATTGCATTCTTATTGATTTAGCATTCGTCACCTTCCAATTCTGGCGATAGATATAGCTAACTTTAGATTGCTATATTTTGAATAAGAAGACAAGCCTGTTTATGTATCGGTGAGATTATCCAAATTTAGAATTAAAAGTCCAAAAATATTCAATATATTTAGAAAATATTATTTCTCTATTCTAATATATATAATTTCAAGGATTCTTATTAATAGTAAAAATGAAAAATAATTTTCGTTCTCTAAACTTTTCACTTTCTTTTCTACTTTCTTAATTTTGAAGAATCCCCAAAATCTCCATTTTAAAGAATCTATGGAGATGATCTTATAATCGAGTCTTTTAGTTTAGTTTGTTGGTATATTCCAAGAAAAACGAATTTTCAGAATTTTCATGTATGGCCATTGAGTTGCTGTTGGACCATTCGTTTGTCTTATTGGAAGAGGAGGTGATTTTTATTTAGATTTGACATGTGGTATTCTCGTATCGTATGGCCATTGAGTTGCTTTGGACCCTTGACTGAGACAACTTATTCTTAATTTGAATGATTTTGGTGAGTAAGTGCAAGTATAATTTATCCACACTTCATTTCTTGATTTGAATTATTCTGGTCATTAAGTGCAAGTATAATTTATCTTCCTTGCTCTCGAATTTACACTTTATATTGTTTTTTTCTTCATTGCTTTGTATTCGGTTTTGTCTTCGGGTTGCTATTTGTACCCCCCTTCTCGCTCACATACTACATATTTCTTACCCCCTATCTAGTTGCAGATTTAGGATTTTTGTCTAGTGGGGCACCTTTAAGGTAGATTAAAGGCCCACAAAGTCTACTAATATGTTTTTAGCCTAACTCCACCGTTTCGAGAGATTTTTAAGTTTTGTTTGTCGATTTCAAGGGACTTTTTTCGTTTTTTGTTGATTTCGAGTACTTTTTTGGTTTGTGGGGTACAGACAGGAAATTTCTGGCAGAACTATGGTAGAAAGTTAGAAATAATTGTTTTTAACCTAGGTAAAAAGAGAATTAATGGGATCCTATCCCCCACCTTTTACATACTAAATTCACCCCCTACCCCTAACTTAGTGAGGGGGGTTATGAATAGAATTCATCTTTTAATTTTAGTATGTTTTATGGTTTTCACTGGTTATTTACATGTGCCCCATGTTGTAGTAGTTGTACATTTATGTCTAATTTTACTCGAGTACTCTTTTATTTAGACAAAACTAAAATTCACATCAGCCATTGCACTTTATGCTTTTTTAAAGTTGTTTAGTGTTTACTGAAGTCTAACTTGAATAAAATAGTAGATTGCAGTTGGTTTTGTGTTTCCTTTGGAACTCTTCATCAAGATGCAGCATTAAAACTGGACTTGCAAAATTCTTTGTAACATCTTATGTTCCATATCAGTTTCTTCAAACACAAACACAAACACAAACCATATATATATATATATATTATATGGAAATATTGTATGATTAAGTTTATCAAAAATATTTGGTGTTATATTTAACTCTTTGCCTAAGTTTGAGTTTAACTTAGAGCATCTCAAACAGAAGTTTCATAAGAACCTCATTTTTATATCTTTTATTACTACCTTACTTTTAACTTATCAAATTAAGAATTCATATAAAAGTTTACAGTGATAGTTCTTATAATTTTTTATGGGTCCCATGTATTTAGTTAATATAAATATATATATATATATATATATATATATATATATATATATATAACATCTATATTGTCTTATTAAGCAAATTTAACAAAAGTCTTAAAGTCTTAAAATTATAAATGACTAAAATACCCTTTATACTCATTTTTTCATTTTTTTCACTTTTTCACTTTTTCACCCCCTCCTCTCCTCACATACACTCACCCTCTCACAACCGATTTTTTTAAAATTATAATTTTAAATTTACACTTTATGCTCCTATAATTAATTAATTAATTAATTTACTTTATGTCTTTTATTTTTAAATGTTTCATTTTAAACCTTTATCAAATTAACATACATAATCGTATATCAATTAAAACATGTTTAAAAAATATATTTT